AGAAATGTTGAAGTTAAGGCAAATTCAATTTGTAGTAATACTATCTGTGGATATCGTTTGACACCACTTGTAGTCAACGTTATCCTTTAAGGACCTCTTACCACTCCGTCCTAAGTTACTACCTAGATGTACGAAGACTTCGAACAGATGTAAACTGTAGGATGTTCTTTTTCTCTAGGTAGAGACATAGTCGTCTAGGTCGTGTTAAACTATGAGTTTCGCATCGCATCCTTTTTCTTTCTCATTTTTTACACGTCTTACTTTATATTATACAAATCTATAAGATCAATAATACTTCATAATTAGTAAAACCATGGTATGTAGGCTATCTTCTTAAAGTAGGACCAAAACGTGAGTTGTTACGTTAGTATTACTCATCATCATCATCATCATCATCATCAGCCTATCGCAGTCCACTGCTGGACATAATCCTCTCCCATTGCACGCCACTTAGATCGATTTTGGGCTTATTATTACTTTCTATTACTCATGGGTGATACTAATTAAATACTTGATACTGCAATGAATCAAATCTAATAGAAACTGCAATGACTTAAGTTTTAGTTTGAATCAGGTGACAAACAGAGTATTTCTGTTTGTCATGACGATGCAAATAAGTTCATTCCAATTAATTTTGAACATTTGATAAAAAGTAAATTTTAGTTGAAATGAAAATAGAATATAATCAAAGTTTCAGCTGAGTTGAAGCAATTCCCAAATTAGCGTTCTACTTCGACTGAATCATTGTGGCTTTTTAATATATTACCAAAGCCGCCTTCACAATATTATAAGTTCCATGTAGAAATAAACTCAACGACCGCGGTGTGACAGTAAGCTCCAATCTCGCTTAAATTTATCGACCTGTTGATTCGGGATCACACCGCCTTATGTGAGATTTCCACACGATATATGTTGACTCATTACTGCCTGTTGCTTTTTATACATAATAAATGTCAGTGTGTGTCTGTTTGTGTATATTTAGATTTTAAAAACTACTGGTTTTATTTGAATGTTTTGTTTTGCTTTAAAAAATACGTTGTAAGACATAAGAAAGGAATTTAGTTTAACAGTTTTATATATCGTGAAGAAAACACGTGTTTAAGTATTACCCACGTTCCGTCTTCCTCTACGCGGTTGCTACTCGAGAACTCTTTTGCCCATCGGTCATAATTTCTTTGTCTGTTTAACTCACTCTAATTTACCTTGTTACTATATCCCCTCTCAAAATGATAACATTACCACTGAAGATTGGAGTCAGGCAGGCGGCTGGCCATAAGATAAACCAGCCAAACTAATTGTGCTGAATTAGCAGAAAATATAATTGGGAAAAGGACAAGAAATTATCACCCTAGGGTTGAATGGTAAAAAAATCCTGTGGGAATTAAGTGCGACGTTGTATAATTCTTTTTATACTTATAGCATCAAATAAAAATATGAATGAATATGATCATATACTCGTATTACCTATTGTTTACACGACAACAAGCGAATTTCTATATCTAATTTAATATAGACCTTAAATAACATCACACACACACATAAAAGATTTATCGCGATTCTCGACAAAACTGCCAGTTCTAACATTCTTATGACAAGTTTCAACCTAGTAACACGAATACACCATTACACATGAAGTGTGATATTTCATTACCGGTGAAAGGTGTCAACTTTATGTATATCTAGAGACGAAAAAAGGTACTTAAATATTAAAACATGAAGAAGAAAACGTTTTCAGAACATTTTAAAGGAATTATTATTTATCGCGACAAACGCAAAGATTTATAGATTTTGTCTTGACTTGTTTTATCCCAATTTTTTAAAGTTTAGAGACTTTGAGGTCAAGGAATTTGAAATTTTGCACGATCATAAATATTCACACGCACGTCGAAAAAATGATATAAATCTTAAAATTATAAGAAAATAGGATACCTCCTCTACTCGTAGTTCAGGGATGATATTTCTTCTTTTGTCCTATAGTGTGAGATACCATCCAATAGCTTCTTTTAATATTTAAAAGTCGTGCAAACTTCTTTTGGATAAACTGATCCCCTTTGCGTGATTAGCAGATGAAAACTTAATTCCACATACGTAAAAGGTGGCAAGCCTATTGCCGACAATCCGGCTCACATATATTTCTTAAAAAATATACGTATAAATTTCTAATTACGCACATATGTTAGGTAAGTTACATTCGAACATAAAACAAGTAATCGTGTTCATCACACAATATTTACTCTTGGTGGGAATCGAACCCAAAACCTCTAGCTTAGCAGTCAGGATCGCAAACCACAACACCAACAGACCGATCAACTTAGACAAAGTTTCTTATTTTAAACGGGTGGTATGGAACTACAGAATCCTACATTGCATATTGGCCTTTGTCAAATCAACCAGAATCATCATTATCATCATCATCGTCTGTTTTCTGTGTGGACGTTGTCTAACTCCGGTCGATCAGGCACATTTATGCCATTTGATATACCACATTTATAATTATAGCTAACCCAATGTTGTCAATGGTGTTTCATTCATTTAACAATTCCTAATTGTTATACATGCTTGAACAATTCGGTACCGTTATGACACTCAACTAGGCCTACCAGGTTAGTACCAGGTTAATAATCAATCAATACAACTGGCATATTTGTACAGTAGATTTCTAACTATTTAATTCTATCGCTATTTGTGCCCAGTGTAAAACCACAGAAAGTAATTAATATTTAACTTTAGTTATGAATTTAAGTAAGCTTTATTAATAGTATGCCTCATTCATTTAATTTAGTCCACAATTTGTTCACTTGCTACCCTTATAAAATTTCTCGTTAGAAATGACGCTCCTATTACACTATAACAGTGGAGACTAAAATAATGATTCAATTAAGCTTAAGTGCTTAATAACAGCTTCCCTTTAAGAATGATTACTCTACTCTGCCTATTATTTTATTTATTTTTAATTATTTATAAAGAGTCAATTAGTGATATCTAAAAATGTTACCGATTTGAATAAAAGTAAAAATTGATTGTTTTTAAGTACAAGATTCAATTGATTTAAAAATTAGTAATAAGTTAAGTTTAGATCTAAATATGGAACGTATTAAATAACGTATTATATAAATTAAATTAAATAAACAACGTATTATAGGCAAAATAGTTATATTGTGCGGGCAAGCCGAAAATTCAACAGATTATGCAAACAGCACGATATTGACCCCTTTGCTATAAGTATTCCTTCGGCTAGAAGGTGCTTGAGTCGTTTCTTTTTTACCTCAGTTAACAATAAAATAAAAAAAAACTAAAATTAAACTAATTAATTTATACTTAATACTTACTTTTTTACTTTATTTATTTTTTATTTTTATTATTAATTTGTACTTAAAACCTAAAATGCATACATAACCCAGGAGGCTAGTTGAGACCGTGATTTAGCTTATTTATAGTCTGTAAAATTTTTATACTGTTTCTTTTTCTTTTTTTTTTGATTGCACCTCAAATTATTAATATAGTGCTATAAGTGAAGACTTGTAATTGGCTTTCAGGCAATTATTGTAATTTGTAACGTTTTGAACAATTGTAGCTGTAAGTCTTCCATGCTCTAATTAAATAAATAAATAAATAAAAACTATCCACATTGAATATTTTATATAAAAATAATAAAATAAAACACATAATATTCAGAAAGACTTAAGTGATACATCTAGTATGTGGCATCTTTTGCGACCTTTGATAAGCTTTAGACTGTATAAGTAATAAATACCTTTTAAAAATTGATCATAAGAGACATTGTAAATAAGCCCTTTGTTTGCTTGAATCTTACCTAAGTGATAGAAAGCATCTGGTTCAAATATCTAAGTGATGTCGATTTGCTAGGATCAAACATGAAAGAAGGCGAAGGCGTCCGTTATGAAACCGATGTTGGTTCTCTATCTCATTTTTATTAATGATCTTCTCTTTTTACGGTATAGCCAAAAGAATTATTTGCTGACAATTCATTATTTGCTAAACTAGATAGATGCGCCAAAATCCTTAACGATGTAAATAATTTAATTCATCAAGTACTTGGTTGGTTGGTACTACCATTTGGTACTACCAATATCATTTAGTCCTGTATGGGAAGGGAAATAAATCCATAAGTTTCTCTTCTTTCTCTCTAAATATAAAGTTCACTGAATGTATTGTTTTATTTCATAAGGAGATGCTTTTGTAAATGAAATTGATTAAGAAGGGATAACACTAGATTCTAGATTGCACCAGGACCCTCACTTAACATTGGGATTGAAAGAGTCAAAGCAACTCAGTTCTACAGCATTTATTTTGAAAGACCGCTAATTTACAGAATTACGAGTATAGACTGCAGGGTTAATTTATTTTAGACATTTTTACAATGTGTTATGGTATTTAATAGGTGGGGGCGTGATGCAGCTGGAACCTGTTTTTACTCTGTATAGAAAGAACCTTGTGAAAATAATGACGTATTTCATTAAAATTATCCACGGGTATTATTACCAAACTGCGTAAAAATCATAATTATATTAATAGAAAACTAACTTAATTAGTTTAATTCAATCATTTATTCTGAAAATATTAAAGAAAAGTAAACAAAGGTCATTTTTAATTACATCTGTATTTAATATGATGATATTAAATACAGATGTAATAAAAAATGACATTTGTTTATCATCATCAACAGCCTTTACTAGTCGTCTGCTGGACATAGGCATCTCCTTAGAATGGAGGTTTTGGCCTACTATACCACGCTGGGCAGACGGGTTGGTAGAGGATTTGTTTCAAGTTTTCCTGCATTTGCAGTGATGTCGTCCTGCGTAGTTTACTCCCTTAGTCTTCTCTTACGACACCCACAGGATGAATAGGGGTGGTGACACTCGGTATTCTTAATCCGTCACCACACAGATAGTATTTAATATAATACAATTAATTTTAATCCAAAATTCATTACACGTCATAAAAAAAATCGTATAAATATATCAATCGATGTATTTCATTTATTCCAGGATGCTGGGCGGCGTGGGAGGGCGGCATGCGTCCGTGCGCCGGCGCGGCAGTTCGCCGGGAGTGCGCCGGCTTGCGGCGAATGCCGGCTTGGGCGCGGGCGATGGCTCACCGCCGGCTTCCCCGCGCCCGATGCGCCGGCGCCGCGCAGCACTCGCTGCCTCCGACCACAAAACATGCGCCCTTATACATACAAGGCTCAAGCTGGGCGACATTATGTGAGTATTTTATTATATTCCAAAGACTATTTAACACACTATTTCAATAAGATTACGTTCAAACGACGGCCGTTGCGTTGTTGTATAGTGTTTACTTAGCGAGCATTTCACAGGCACTAAAAGGCGCGCTTTCGCAGTTCAGTTCTGTATTCGATAGATAGGATGCATTTCTTGTATTTTATTATAGAATAAACTGTATAAAAAGTGCGAATGAAGTAACGCTGAACTTTTAATGCCCAAATCTTTTTTTTAACAACAACAAAATGCATGGCCTTATCAAATGCGTACTTGATGCGTTTTGGATTTCAACTGATTTATAAAGCTCACTTAAAACATTTTTTTTCTGTATTATAACTTTCCCCGTGAGGGAATAGTGTCGCAATTATGGATAGATAAAGGACAGTCTGTACATTGATCACTTCCGGTAATCACACCTTTCATCAATAATAAAAGGACGTCTTTGTCCATAAATCTTATTACCACCATCTTTTCGAGGAAAGCATTGATTGAGCTATTTCAGAGGTGGGTTCTGCAGCTTGTTACAAAATATGTCTAATTGGAAACAACACAACTTGCATTAGTAGGAGTAGGTAGGTTGATAGGAAATTCTATTGTTTTCTGTTGATTGTCTTATTTACCCTTTTTTTTCCGTGCGGAAATCCCCTCGGACACCACCTATCGGTGGCATGTCGGACTCGAACCGACTAAAACCGCACGCCGTCTCGGGTACTAATAGCCGGGGAACCAGGTATACCCTAGAAAGCAAGTCCCTGGTGCTGTCATATTTACCCTAGTGTGAGCAAAACTATAACGCGATTCCGGTCTCACTCTCTTCTTTCTAGAACAACACCTTCCATGGAGATTTAAGTTCAAATTAACCAATTAACGTTTAGCTTAAACGTTAATTGGTTAATTTGAACTTAAGTTCTTTTAAAAGTTTATTTTCTTTTTGTACTTAATTCCAAAACAAATGACTAGGTCATTTTAAGTATTAGTTCTTGAGCAGGTTAGCGCAATAGCATATAAAGCAGCCTTTATAATTCAACTTCGATATCGCAATAAAAATTTTAAATGAAGGTTCAAATATATCTTTATTTTAAAGGTTTAATTCGTCTTATTTTAGATTTGGAAGTCATGATGCTAACAATACAGCCGTGAAAGCTGCAAAAATTATAATTGAAAAAATGTTATTACAGTTGTGTACAAATGTGCACATTACAATTATACTACATTTGGAATGATTTATTGTGTACCATTACATAGTAAGTAAACTAACCCTATTTATTTAAAGATCATTATATGTCAAAAGTGTTAGCCGAAGGCAACCAGTTATTTAAATAACAACGACTCGATTCATCAGAAGCTTGCTCCTTCCAAAACAGAAACACTGAGTAAACTCTTATCATATGAACATGATTTTTGTTATAAACTATATGACTGCATATTTAAACTTATAACGTATTTATTTATGAAAGAGAAATCATGTTTTATTTGAAACTTCATGAATCAATGTTTGGTAATTTTAATTTGAGCGCCCTCTGCCAATTCTTCATCGAAACTCTATATCTTAAACGCTTGTAGCGCCATCCCGGTTTACAGGAAAACAAATGAAATATTTTCAGCGCCATTACAATGTAACGGAAAGTGTTGGTACTAAATAGAAATCCGATACTATAGCCATCTAGGTTGATATGTATAGAAACACTCCATTTTACTTGATAGTAGAGGGCGTTTAATGTGGTCTTTCCTTTGATATTTACGCGGGTTTGTGTTTAGGTACAACTTCAAAGGTATCTACAACTTTTTGTCGCTAGATGTCTCTGCAAGTCCCGCAAAGCACTAGTTAAAATGAAATATACAGTTAATATATTACTCTCGGGCCTAATTTCATACATAAGTTACTTATTATTCAAGTATTGCAATTATGGTTATAATCCAATAATAATAATCTAACATCTAGAATATAATATACAGACGAATAAGTGTTATGTATATTTAAAATACAGAAAACTAACCAGTTCAATAATATTTTATTAATATTTTTCAATTGACATAGAATCGTTTTTTTTCATTCGATATTCAAAATAGGTGACATTTAAATTCAATTTGCCTTAATAAATGGAGGTTCAGCAAGTCGTCTGTTCCCTACGTTTACCCATTGTAAATGGAGCAGGCTTCGCTTCCTGCCTCCACGTGGCGAGATGCCATTATTGATTTCCGGCGCCAGAACAAGACAACGCTATACCACAATTTGTTGCACTATTTTCCGTCTCATTCTTTAGCCAATATATGACCTATTTTTATACTGCTTTGCCTATATTAATACAGCTTAAGTAATTAGGTGAAAAGTTCGGTAGGCGCGATGTAATCTAAACAGTAGCGTCGGTATAATAATGTGTTGCTTTTGTAGATATTTCTATAACGCGGTGTTTTGGAACAATTATACTAGTTCACGTCATTGACTTTGAAATATAATATCAGGTTTTATTAGTACATTCAACAACGTCATATCTGCAACTGTTATACTTTAGTTATTTTCTTTAGTCCTTTATACATCAATAAACGTAATTTAAAAATATACTGAGGATCAAGTCAGGCAATTACAACCTTCAAGTAATAACCTCTTATTAGACAAGTTATATTTGTAAAGTAATAATAAATTCTTGTTATATATGTTTATATTTGACGTATTTATTAATCTGTGGCTTTATTCTATTTCCTTTGTTCATCTATGTAGACTGTTTTAGAAAGGTTTGCCAAAACAGTTAGGAGTAGTATGTGCAACTGATTGATTTAACTTTAAAAATAGATTAAACATATTTTATAATAAAAATAGATTAAAAATAATTTTTAAAATAAAAATAGATTAATAATATTTTGTTTTGTATAATATATATTTTAAAAATTAACATATTATACACTTTTTTTATTATTTTAAATAGTCAATAGACTTATTCATGTCATTCTTTTTTATAATACATTAGCTTAACCAGTCAATTTTCATGTTCAATGTGTTAATTTAAAAATTTATATTTCTGTTTTTTAAATCGGCAATTTAACAGTCTGCATAGGTGACAACCTGGATTTGAAAAACGACAACTAAAAATCTTGATTGGTTAACAGGTACAAATATTATTGTCATATTAATATTATCGTTGGTTAGACTAGTACACTGTTTTGTTTTTGTATTCTATATTCTTTGTTTCCTATTTATGGTGTGGTGATAAAAAGAACCTATCTCTATTCCATGTCATCTCTTTTCTTCTTACAACATTTAACCTAGTATTGTGGAATTGTTCGTATGCCTTTATGCCTAGTGAAGGTTAGCAGTCAACTCCTTATACTCCTTCTTTGTGAGGCAAAAGAAATCGGCGGCAGTTTTTTTTGCCACCAACTCCTTTTCGTCCGGCATTGTTTCAAATCACAATGTGTTGTAAAACTTTATTTCTTTTATGATATGTTATGTTACTTTTCTTTTTCGAAAATCACCAAAAATTATCGATTCTTGTTACTGCTTTTTAAAACTTTAAAGGCACTTGGGCATTTATTGATAACTTTAACTGAAATTCCACTTAATAATTGCTAATAAATAACTACCTTACGATAAACCTTCATTATAATAGTTTTTTTTATGCCACAATTTAAGTGTTAGGCTTAAATAAGACGCATCGTAAACATACTACCTTTACATCGTATACATGTTTGCTTTATAATAGAAACATAAAAAAACATTATGGTATTCACCATAATGTAATCCATAGGTATATACACATCATAGTCGAAATTTAATTTTCTTAAATAATTATTTATTGTTTTACAATTCACCGCAACACGATTTATCATGAAGTGTGTATCCTGAAACAAAGGATTATCGCGACCGCAGTCGGTTCGACGCACCTGCAGCGCTCGGCTTAGATACATAAATACGTAGGATTAACACCGCGGTAATTGGACACCTACTCCACAAATAGAAAAGAAATACACATTTTTTTGTTTAAATATTTTTATTATCGTTGCTTATTTTTACATTGCTTATTATTGTATCTATATTATTTATCTTTTTAAATTAAAATGAATCCCCAAATGTGTTGCTAAGCGCAAATCTCGAAAAAGGGTTCGACCAATTCAACAATTATTTTTTTCATATGTTTGTTAAGGCACAGAAAGGTTTTTATGGAGAGAAAATTGTTAAGAAAATAGTAAAAAAACCTGCATTTTTTTCTTATATAAACCACAAAGTAAATTAAAACACTTTCTACAAAATCTTAATAAAAGCTGCCAAACATTTATCGTTCATCAAACAAAACAAAGGCATGTTAGGATTATCTTTGGTATGACTTCAAGTTGATTAGGCTGTATAAATATAAAGCTATACCTGCCTAAAATAAAGTTAGAAGAAAAGTGATCACTCCGAAATGCTTTTCATTTATGTATTTTTTCTTACTACAAGTATAACTTTTGACAGAACGAAGTCTGTCGTGACAGCTAGTTTTAAATAATATTATTAACAAATATAATTTTTCACTCGTACTCTCTTCTTAAAGACTGGCTACACACTTGTGATCCTTGAGCTGCGGACAAAATAAAAAAAATATACACTAATGCATAAAAATAGATTAAACCTGCCAACCTCTAAATTAACTATGCATTCTACCGGACCATTTGTCCATCAAATCAACATATCTATCAAAATATTATAAAACATGCTCTCAGATTCAACCCAAAGTTAAGAAAGCAATATTAAATTTCTTAGAGTATTAAAGTCACTATTAATCAATAAAACATATTATACACTAAAAGAATACCTTTATGATAACACCCTAGCAAATGATAGTAATTTAATATAATGTAATCCATACTAGTCCATATTAATATAAAAAATGCGAAAGTATGTCTGTCTGTCTGTCTTTCTGTCTGTCTGTCTGTCTGTCTATCTGTTACCTCTTCACGCTTAAACCGTTAAACCGATTTAGATGAAATTTAGTATAGAGATAGTC